TTAATTTGTTAAGCCCTTGGCCTGGGGCCCAAGGGTGGCTTTTCTCAGAGATTCCTGATATTTGATAAGCATCTTCCGTTGACGGCTTTTTTTTTTTTAATCAGTCCTTAACCAAATGGAAATTAACTTTGGATGTTGTCATTCCCCACTCCGCACCGACTGTCCATCTTTAACGGAGTAGAATGTTAATAGAGAACAGAGGGAGAAACGGAGAAAGCATCAAGCCTCTGATGCCAAGAGCCCCCTTTAGGTGCCACATGCTTGAATTCCAAACTCCAAAATGTTCCTGGGCTTTGAAGAACCACCTACCATATTGATACTTGGGATGGCTCCAACATCTGCAACTTCTTAAACCCCCCAGAAAATAGAAGCAACATCTTCCTGATGCACCTCCTTTTCCTTGTTCAGTATACCATGCTTTTCTACCAAAAAAGGCACTAGAGTGGCTTAAAATCACCAATAAAACTTGATAAAATAAAACAGGAACTAAGCACAATTAAAAGCACGGCAACAACGAAATACAACAGCCTCCAACCCAAGAGACACGGTTACACACCAAAGGACCACTAGAGTACAGGGGTCTTCGCCAGGCGGCAGAAGCACAACCAGAAGGAAAGGAAGCTCGCCTTGCCCAGAGGGGAATTCTGCAGCCATGGAGAAGACCTCGTACCACCAAAGGGCTCTCCTCCACGTTCACGGTGGAGAGCTTTAACGTCACTTCACCGCGTTAACTTCAGCTGTTGTTCCTGGGGTGGAGAATGCACACTCCGATTCTGATGCCCACAGGCCAGGCCTCGGCTAGGGTGCGCCTGTGTGTGGATCACTTGGCTGCATGGGATTAGAGGAGAGACTGTGTGCAACCAGCTACAGCAGAATGAGCATTGGGAGCAAGACTGCCAACTGGAAAATGATCGCTGTTTTAGGCCAGCCCTGGGTGGTCCCACCCAATGAATGAATGAAGTCAAAAATCAAGAGGTCAAAAGAAAACATAACTCCGCCACTAAAAGTTTATGTGTTTAATTTCAATTAGGGGGAGGAAAGGGGGTGGAAAAAAAAAAGAAAAGGAGGAAATCTGTATATCTTTATTTTTACTCATTTCAACTAATTAATGGCTCCAAAGAAATGGCCATTACATCTAACTGAAAGGTTTGCTAACACTTCATTAAAAGGATGTTTAAACAAGCTCACAAACCTTGTTAATGCATTTGGGTTGACCACAGCGTTGTTTCGGCCTCTCAGTAATTATTTTTATTCAGCTTTCAAATATAAACACAACAGCCAAGTCCAATAACTCAACTTAAAAAAAGACCCTACAGTTCTATTTCAAAAACTAACACAGTTTGGATTGATACTTTTTTAAAGTAGAATGTTAAAAGGTACCACATGCAAAATTTCACCACCAGCACCACCAAAATATCCATGTTAATCAAGTTCATTCATTTCATTCTGAAAGCCAACAGAGTAAAAGTTAAACTTTACTTTCTCGCATACACTCCATGATCTCTCAGCACACTCTTTTGGGAGAACGAGCTAGGGAACGGCCATCGAGTCTCATGCTGAACAGATATTTTCTGAGAGACCTTGAACCGATCTCTCCGCATCTCTCAAGTTCTCTTTCTAGGGCTGATGTGAGAAGGTGATATAACTCAATGGATTTCTCTTTGATCTGAAACATGGACCAGGAACTTTCAGTGCGTAGCTCACACTCCTGATTGTCACGTGCTATGGACCGGGATGCAGGGAAGGAGGGAGAAAAACTAAGCGCTCTGGCAAAATGGCCCGGGCATCTTACTGCCCGTGCCTCGAGGACAACTGCCCGGGTGGTGCTGTGCCATGGCCGAGGATGATGCTGGTGCTCTTCAGACTGGTGACTGGAGGAACCAGGGGGAGCCTAGCCAGCTGGGTCGAGCTGTCTCTCCAGGTTTGGCTCCTTAGCAGGGCCAGTTCATCTCACTGAGCAGGCAGAGCCTCTGCTGCCTCACTCTCCGGGCCGCCTAGTGCTGGAAGCTGGTCCCCGGCCTGCCTGGGACCAGGTCTTTTGCCTTGATCACTCCGGATTTCTGCCTGCACAGCACTGCCTTTGACCTTCCAGGCCACATGGATGGAGACCCAGGCAACCAAGGGAGAAGCACTACAGGTCTCCTGCACGGTCTCTTGAAGACCGTGCTGCAAAACTTTGGAGGTTCACCCTCACCACTGGAAAAGTATTAAATTGTTAATTCCAGTGGTATTTCTAAATCCCAAGGCCCCAACAGTACAAGGGCCAGCGTGTTATTTCTGGCATGCGATGATCCAAGAACACAGTCTGTACCTCTGTCTGTAGTTATCCGGAGTTATTTCAAGGGCTTCAGATATAAAGGAACCCTCAACTTAGCAATAACATCTTATTTATATTTTAGCATGTACTTGAATAACCATCATTTTTACACTCTCACTCACATACACATGCTCACAAAAATTAAAAAAAAACCCTAAAGCTTTTCATAGTATCCATTAAGCAGACTAACTCACGATTACTATGGAGATCAGAAGCCAAGTTCATTAAAGACAGAAGTCCTCTAAATCATATATAAGGCAACTTAAAAACCTAAGATAAATCATTTTATTACTAAAGCTATTGCAAGAGGAGTCTGGAAGCAGACACGGAATGTCAAAAGTAATGACTGCATTAAAAAAGGCTTCATGAGAAATTTATGAAGTAGAATTTCTTTCTGACTCTCCCCCACCCACCACCCCTGACATTATAGGAAAAGCCGAGAGAATATTTTCCAGGAAAGCATAATAAACCCTGAATGGTCCAACAACCTTATTCTGAGAGAACTGAACCTTGTAAAAACTTAAATGAAATAGCTGGGGTTTCACTTTGGGTTCCATGCAATTTTGCATTTAACACAGCAGGTCCTCAGAGGTCAAATGAATCAAGTATTTCTTTGAACCAATTCTTGAGAAACAGACTCAAAACAGCATACTGAGAACTGGAAAATCAATTACTATTTGGGGAAAATGTGAGGAAACGGGGTTCTCGTTGCAGGGAGATTTCACACAGTACAGCACAGTACAACCAGCACAGTTCGTCCCCAGGCCCATGGGGCACACGGATTTGGGCAGGGGTGGGTAACGTTTAGGCCAAAACATCCGGAGAGTCACAGCTCCCATCATCTCTCACCCTGGGTTATGGTGCTTAGGACTGATGGGAGTTGTAAGCCAAAATATTGGGGGGGGGGGTTACTGGTTGTTCAACTGCCGATGTTCTGTCCACCTGGTTGTCAGCTTTGACGGCTCACTTCTGATCAGGTGGATTGTAGGCCAGGTATCCTAACAATAAAACCTACGTTCTCGTGGCCCCTGTTAACTTTGGTTCCCATGGCCCCCATTTACCAGGGACAGTCCTGATCCCCAGCCCCATCCTGCCTAACAAGCACTACGCACGTCTGTCCTCATCTTGACCTGAGATGAGGTATATTGTGCAGATGCAGTGGAGGGTTCAGCTCCCACAGGAACTTACTGTACACCCGTGTAAATGCAGACGTCCTGAGACACACATGGCTGAGGCCTATTCAGGCCGCAGCAGCATCCTGTGGGATGACTAGCCTTTGTTTTTTAACCTCACCAAAAAACTGGCATCCTCTTGGCTTTTGCACAGAAAACAAGATCTGGCGTGCAGCAACCAGTGTATAAAATTGAAGAGGAGAGGGGAGTTCTTTTCAGCATGAGTATAAAAACATTACGAACACACTAGTTTTGCCTGGGAAGTGTTGGAGACGTCGATCTCAGTGCTGCTGGCCAGTTACTCCTTACCAGGCTGTCATGGGCACTGGTCGGATGGCTGACGTCTGGCGGAGAGGACTTCCTGGAGGCAGCCCTCTTCCTCCCAGAAATAGCTCCGGGCCCTCGGGTCCCACTCCGCTACCAGTTCATTGCTGCACTCAGCCCGTGCCTGCGTCACGAGCGGTCACCCACGATCAGCATCAATGTCAGCCAAGCAGAGGAGAGATGCGGAGCGACACTTCACACTTCACGTTGTCAAAGATGTCACTCCGGCAAGCCCATCGCAACTGCACACAGGCTGGCTTGCATCCATTCCCAATTAGCATGCCCAGCTCAAAAAAAATCTGTTCCGCCCACAAATGAGCTCAGCCCTCACCACAACAAGAACAGGGCTCCATTCGTCACCTTTCGCAACTCAACCATCCATAAGCGTTTGGACGTTTAGTGCAAATATAAGACTCAGATCTGGTTTACCTGTAACAAGTGCCCAGAGTCAGGGTTGTGGATTGCCATATGCAAACCCTGCGTTGAGGTTTACTTATGGGTTGTTAACCACACACACCCTTCATAATGTTGCAGTTAAGCTGGAGATGACTTGAGGGCACGGAACAGCAACCGCCACCAGGAACAGCCCCGGACCAGAAGCCGTCCTTTGCTGTTGCAAACCACAGGGCAGGGTTCACAGATTCTCACAGCCCACCGTTCTACAGCAACGCAAACACAACCCGTGCTGGGTTTGTTCTGTGCAAAACAGACCTACGTATGTGTAGACCACTCATTCTGTGCTGGAAGTGGGTTTCAAAAGCAGGCAGATGGCAGACGGATGTACGTAAGAACTTTATTAGTCAACCCTATAACTTGAAACCCACGATTGCCTTCTAATATCGAGTGATTTCTAGACAGGCTGCTGCTAAAAAACAACTTAACAGGCCCTTGCAGACTTGTTTCCTGCCAATGTGGTCAGAAATGGGCAGTGGGGCAAGGTATGGGTTGGGCCCAACAGGACGGGAAATGGTGTCAGATACTGACAATGTGAAGCCCAAGATGCACAAATCTGGGGCGGTGTCCTCGCAGAGGCACCCACAAGGTGCTGTAACCTTGGCCATGGGGAGAGGGCAAAGAGATATACTTCTTGCAAGCCGCTTGATAGCATCTGGTCTTGAATCAGTTTATATGGGAAAAAGCAGGTCACAGGCTTGCGATGCCCCGCCCACTCAACTGCATTCTCTTACCTGCCCTTCTCCGACCGTCTCGGTATCGATGACTGTGACAATCCCGGGGACCAAGGGACTGCGCCGGGTGTTGCTGTGAGCCAGCATCTCCTCTTCGGTTGCCCCCGAGGGTAGAGTGCCGGTAAGCTGCGTCACAACTTTCCCAACCATGGTGAGCCCAGTTTTTATCGTCTGTTTTGAAAAAAAAAGGACAACCAACGCAAAGCTCATCTTGACATTCTGCTTGATTCACTCGTGCAAGTTACATAACTTGTTACAGAAATCCTTAAAACGGACGGTAAAAAGCCTTTACAGTTCCCAGCATGCTTCTTCTAAAACACTGCAGCAGAATGGGGGGGGGGGGACCCATGGAAATGGATATGAAGACACGGAAATGCTCATATACCTAGCCGCACAAATGCCAACCAAGATTATAGTCATGCAGAGCCCTCCAGAAGTACTCACCGCCCACTTGACTTTCCGTATGTTCTTGTGATACAAGCTTGAAGTGGATTTAATTGGCACTGCTGCCACTTCATGTATGCAAGACACCCAACATTGTGTACATCAAGTGGGAACAACGCCAATTAAGTCTAATTAAAAATGTTCCAACATTTATAAATCCCTTCATGAGTGGGATGTGAAAGGGAGGAAGCGACCCTGATAAACTGGTCCCTCTAGAACCAGGGAGTGCTAAAGCCAGTGATTACATCCCATTCAGCCAAGGCCACGGTGTTGCATTAAGGCTACCATGCTTCCTTTTTCAGCAGGCTCCTACAGGTCAGGCGGATATGACACAGCTTTGCCCGTTTTCATGTTTAGAATATATGCACCTATTGAACTTGGCCAGTGCAAATGGGAAAGAATCCCTCTTTGGTTTACTCCTGACTAAGAAGTTACCAGAGTGAACATAATTCATCCCAAGCGCAATGGAAAGATCGTAAAGGAAGGCCGGCTGGGTCGGACCAAGGAACCAACCTTGCCCTCTGTTCAAGCTCACCAACAAGCTGCCCACCGGAAACGCACAAGCAGGATGGGAGTGCGACGGCACCCTCCAAACTATATTCCCAGTGACGGGAGAGCACAGGCGTACTTCTTCTAGTGGAGGTAACATACAGCGGACGGGACTGATCGCCACGGATGGCCATATCCTCCATGAATGCTTCTAGTCCTCTTTTAAATTCCTCCATCTCCCTGGTCATCACGACACCTTACAAAAGTGGATTCCCTCATTCAGCTGTGTGCTTTCCGAAGAAGTCCTTGCTTCTCTCCATCCTGACTCTCCCACCAGGCTGCCTCATGGCAGGAAATTGACGAACACCTTGAGCATGGCTCCTATTATCCTCCCTTTCCCTAAGCTAGTCTCTCTCCTCACAGGGCAACTGTCCCATTCTTGATCATTTTCATAACTCTGCCCTGTTCTCTCTGGTCCTGCAATCTCTTTCTGAGGTGTTGCGACCGGAACGGTTGCTTATTCCAAGTGAGGCTGCTTTTCCCCCACATGTATCACTTTACACTTACTTAGCTTTGCATTTGCTTAAATCACAAAATGACTTGAGATTTAGTAAGTTTGAACGTGGAAAACGGAGAGAGAGAGAGAGAGGTGAGGAGTTCTGCTGCTCCCATCAAAAGGCTTTCTCCTACTGCTCCAACGAACTCTCCCCTTCCTGTAACGCGAGCCCAGGGGATCCGACCCTGCCCTAGAAATCTTTGCCCTCTTTTCGGTGGCAGCTTTTCAGGTATAAAGGTTCTGCTTTCCTCTGTGCACGGTCAGAGGATATGGGATGGGAGAAAGCCCTTTTCCCAAGGATAAACTGAAGGAAGCAGAAAGCAGGCCAGTTTAAAAAAAACAACAAAACACCAGTATGTCAATTGGCAAACGAAGCTCTCCATCCTGGTTCCAAAGGCTGGGGGTAGGGAGAGAGATCCCGACTGGAGCAGAAGCCACAAATCAATCGCAACTGCTTTGTTTAGTGCTAAAAACTCAAACTGCAGTGATTAGAAAACACATTAGTGTTCATCAATTAGCAGCCGAGCATTCGGCTTGAATTATTCATGGGGAAATGACTTACACATAAGACTCAGTTAGTGTGTTGTCAGGAAAACCTCTGAAGGGCCAATAGAACCAGGCGCCACTGTGTATTGACGGCACCGATCCAGCCAGGAAGCCCGATTAACCTCTGAGATGCCTCCGTTGATGTACTTACCCCATTAATGCTAATGGAGATGCTACCACTTAAAAAAAAAAGTCAGAGCCGGCCAAGCCTTTAACAAAGGAAAAGTCTTTGGGTTTTTAAAGTCTCTTAGCAAGAGACATATCCTGTCATTTGTGTCTTATCCTCCTCACTCCCCTGGCCTTTTTTAAACTCCCACAACAAACGAGAAGAAATAAAATCCTTAAACAATTGGCATGCTGACAACTTCTGGGAAAGTAATGTGAATGTGCATGCAGGCACACACACCGGCGACCCTTGGTGATTTCTGCAGCCTCGGTGGGGCCGTTGATGCAATCAGCTGCCCATGGAGAGCAACCAGCCGGGCCTTCCCTGCAGCCTCCAGCGGGCTTGCAGCAGGACCAGGCGGCATCGCGGGGGCCTGAATCGAGACGCAGATGCTGTTCTCCAGCTCGGGGCCAGCTGCTGGAGCTAAACGCTTTGTCCGGACAGCCAGTCGGGCAGCAGGCATAAGGCCATGCTCTGATGACCAGGCAGAAGGCCTGGCTCCTTGGATTCATTGCACTATCTGGCTGGTCAAGGACTCCATTCTGCCTCCCAGCCACCAGAGCTTCGCCACCTCCTGCTTTTATTCTAACCTGCCCGTGAGTCCACTTTCATAGAGGGAGCCCTCCATCCACTGCAACGCACCCTCTGCTCCTGGGTGAGCAACCTGTGGTCCCCCAGATGGACCTCCCATTTTCCATCGCCATTGGCTGTGGTGGCTAGGAATGATGGGAAAAACAGGCCCAAACCTTGGAAGAGACAGAAGGTATTCAGGAGTGCTCTGGTCGAAGAGCCTTCCAGCCCACTTTCCACCTAACGCTGGAGGACCATCAAAGACATTGCCCGTCCACACAGCGTTCGGACGGCCCGCTAAGCAAGGAATGGTCTTCCACTCGAGGGGAGACATGCCAGTGTCAACAGAAACCCAGTACGTGAGCATGTACTTCAAATTGGTGTCCCCTTCTTTTGGGGGATACTTTTCTTCCCTTTTGGTAGTTTATAAGTGACCAGTCTAGCTTGTTACCCCTTCCAAACTCATACTAGGTTAGGCTTCAGCCCTTGGGCCACACTCCTCGTGGATGAGCATGAGCTTATGGCCTTACGAAGCTCGACAAACCCAAGCTTAATCAGTAGGATATCCTTTTCTCACTTATTGCACTTCAGTGCTGCCCAACCGCCAAAGCTCTTGGGGCACTTCCCAGAACAAAGGCTATATGATGAAATACATGAACATCATAAAACAATGGAAGAATAAAGAATCGAACAGAGGTAGAAATGGGTGAGGACGACAGTAGCGGCACAGCACTATAAAAGGCAGACAAACATCTTAGAATGGATGGAGTGGGAAGACAATAGAAACATAGAAACAGAGCAAGTCAGAAGGGGTCTCCCGGGCCATCTAGTCTGACCTCCGGCACCACCCAGCTCCGACAATGAACATCTTCGACAATGAACGATCTCTGACAATGAACAGTGGACAATGATCATCTTCATCTGATAACATAAAGACCACAAACTAGGCAAGCCCCTCTGGCAAGCATGTCCCACAACCAGGCAGCTACAGCACAAGGGGTCCTGCATTACAGCTACCTGCCTTCCCTCATTTGCCAGGTATACCTGGAGAAAAAGGCCAACCCTTGGTGAGTGCACCTGGGTTAGGGCTGCCTAGGGCATCAGGGCCAGAGCCAAGGGTGGGCATGGTGGGGCATCTCCAGAGGGCCTGCGCTCCCACAAGGCCCCCATGACAAGAGCCCCCAGGGCTGCATCTCCTCTCTGCCACCCCCACTTCCTCATTCACCCACCTCTTGCTGTAGCCCAGGCAGTGGTGGTGGTGAGAAGGAGCCGGAAGTGCCACAGCCTGCTTGATTGCCAGTCCTTGAACAATTCTGTATAGCCTGACGTGCCTGAGCCTGCCTAATCCTGGAAGCTAAGCAGGGTCAGCCCTGGTTAGAATCTGGACGGGAGCCCTGAGTCTTGCACAGAGCAGGGGCTGGACCTGACGGCCTTCCCAACTGTATGAGTCTATGATTCACCTCCAATGCATTCTGAGAGCCAGTGTGGAGTTGTGGTTAAGAGCGCGAGACTGGGCCTCGGGTGATCTGGGTTCGAGTCCCTGCTCAGCCATGGAGCCAACTGGGTGACTTTCGGCCAATCTCAGTCCTTCAGCCCAACCTACCCCACAGGGCTGTTGTTGTGGGGATAAGCTTGAGAGCAGCAGGAGGCAAGTGATGTAAGCCGCTTTGTGCTCGTTGTAAAAAAAGGCAGGATATAAATAAAGGAAGAAATGAAGTCCTCTGCCTGCTGAGCAAGCACACAGTAGCCACAGCGAGGAAGAAGAGGAGCAGCAGCTGAGCGGCAACTGAGGTGGTGGCTGCACCGAGGGAGGAGGCCATGGAGGATAACTGTGATGAGAGCCGGTGTGGTGTAGTGGTTAAGAGCAAGAGACTGGGACTCAGATGACCTGGGTTCGAGTCCCTGCTCAGCCATGGAGCCCACTGGGTGACTTTGGGCAGTCACAGACTCTCAGTCCAACCTACCTCACAGGGCTGTTGTGGTGGGGATAAGATGGAGGAGGAGAATGATGTCAGCTGCCTTGAGCCCTTTGTAGGAAAAAGGCAGGATATAAATCGATAAATAAATTAATTAAATAAAACTTGCTGGTGCTGCAGAGTTGTGGGGACCTGCCCTGGCCTCGGAGCTAGTGCCTCGGCCCAAGGCATCCATTTGTGCCCAGTTAAGCTCTTGGAGCTGGGCCCCTGCGGAGCCCTGACACCATCACTGCCTTTTACAGCAGTACATTCTGGGACAGGGGGCCTCATCCGGACTGTCCCCAAACAGCAAGCAATGGCATTAGGCCACCTCGCACCAGTTGGAGGGAATGGGGATGCTGGACCGGGTGGGAGACGCGACCAGCATCGCTGGCGGTAAAAGGGCCTGTGCTTTGTCCCTGTGAGCCCTGGTGCCACTGCATTT